AGGGACTTTGCAGGTGTGATCACAGGCCTCAAGACAGGGAGAGTAGCTAGGGCCAACCAGCCATGCTCGCTGCAATCACAGCGGTCCTCAGGGAGGCAGGAGGGTAGAGTGAGAGATGAAGGGACGGAAGGGGAGGCTGGAGTGACGGGCCCTGAGCCAGGGAAGCAGACTGGGAGCCTCCCTGGGACCTTCTGCGGGAACGCAGCACGGATCTCCTGACTAGCCCTGGGAGACCCATCTTGAACTTCTGACCTCCGGCGTAATATCCTAAGCTGCTGTTGTCAGCTTCTGTGGTTGTGGTAATGTGCTAACAGCAGTAGTGGGAAACTCATGCTGGCTAACGGCACTGCCAACAAGCCTCCCATCTCACGGAGCCGATGGGAACAGATGGATTACTTTGAGAGCAAGAGATGCCACTGCTCTGCCCTTCATAGAAGCACCAGGTGTGGTGGTTCACACCTGTCATCCCAGCACTTCGGGAGGTGGAGGCAAGAGGACTGCCTGAGCACACAGGTTTGAGACCAGCCTGGGCAACTTAGTGAAACCTTGTGTCTACAATAAGTCTACTTGGAAGCCTGAGCCCAGCAGGCTGTGGTGGCCAGGCACTCCAGCGTGAGCAAGAGTGAGACTCTGACTCAGGAGAAAAAAAAAGGGTCAAAGAAAGGTGCTCAAGCCCCAGCATGGTGCCCAATGGATTTCAGAACCATGTAACTCAAATGCGGGTTTGTGGAGTTTTTTATGGATTCATTCTGTTCAAATATAATTAAAATATGATTTGGTTGAGGCCTTCAGACTTCAGTGTAGGAAAAAAGAGCTGTTCTTCCTCGCTGAACTCTTCCCAGCTGGTTTAACCATGCATGCATGCCTTCTGTATTACTGATAAACATTCATGGGGGGAGACTAAAAACTCCTGCTCTTAGCCGGGCTCGGTGGCTCAGCCTGTAATCCCAGCGCTTTGGGAGGCTGAGTTGAGTGGACTGCCTGCGCCCAAGGGTTCGAGACCTGCCTGGGCAGGGAGACCTCATCTCTACAACAAATCAAAAAATCAGCCGGGCATGGTAGCGCATGCCTGTAATTCCAGCTACTTGGAAGGCTGAGGCGGAAGGATCGCTGGAGCCCAGCAGGTCGAGGCTGCGGTGGCTGGGAGCGGCCACTGCACTCCAGTATGGGCGACAGAGTGAGACTCCAACTCAAAAAAAAAAAAAAAACTCCTGCTCTTTGCCCTCCTGTGTGCCAGACAGCACTCAGTGAACTTGTGTTAAGCAAACTGAGTGCATGTAGTCCGGATCTGCCGGGAATAAGAATTCACGTTACTTAAAAAAAAAATAAACTGGGCTCTGTGGCTCAGCCTGTAATCCCGTGCCTTTGAGAGGCTAAGACAAGAGGACTGCCTGAGCCCGCGGGTTACTTGGAACCGCTGAGCTCCGGTGACTTGGAAGGCTGAGGCAGAAGGCTCTCCAGAGCCCAGCAGGTCGATGCTGGGGTGGCCATAAGCATGCCACTGCACTCCAGCCTGGGCGACAGAGTGGAACTCCAACTCAAGAAAAAAAAATCTTCCCCAGTGCTCCCCTTCCTCTTCCCCTTCCCCTGACATTCTGACAGGACATGAATGGTAAAGATGGTGAGCCAGGATTCATACCTTGCTGGCCAAGGAGGTCTTGCCTCAGTTTCCCCACTTGTGAAACAGGGAAAACAGTACGAACCTCACAGGATTGTTGTGGGATCAAATAATGACAACTGACATGAGGCTCTCAGAAGAGCTCCGGCACAAAGTGATCCCTCGGCAGATGGTGGCACTGCCTGATCTCTGAAATCGGACTTAGAACCTGCTATGGGATCCATATCCTTCATCCGTCATGGCCAGGGAGGAGGGCTCGTGGGGGAGTGGCGAGTTAGGACAGCTGGAACTGTTACTCTCCACATCCGCTGCAGGAGCATCTGCTACTTTTGCAAGTGCCCTGAACTTCTTCCTTTGGGAACTACCCCACTCTTATGTATTCTGAACTAAAAGGCCAGTTCTTTGAAAATCTGAGGGCAAGCAGGGACATGAGAAGATATTTGTACACCCATGGTCACAGCAGCCTCATCCACAGTAGCCCAAAGTTGGAAACAATCCAAATGGCTAACGACAAATGAATGGATAAACAAAATGTGGTCTGCACACACAACGGACTATCCTGCCTGTTCTATTTTTTTTTTTTTTTTTTGAGTCGGATTCTCACTCTCTTGCCCAGGCTGGAGTGCAATGGGACGCTCACGGCCCCTGTAGCCTCAACCTGCTGGGTTCACGTGATCCTTCTGCCTCAGCCTTCCAAGTAGCTGGAACTACAGGTGCGCGCTACCACACCCAGTTTATTTTTTTGGTTTATCATAGAGATGAGGGCTCACCATGTTGTCCAGGTTGGTCTCAAACCTGTGGGCTCAGGCAATCCTCTCATCTAGGCCTCCCAAAGTGCTGGGTTATTGGTGTGAGCCACCGCACCTGGCCCGCCTGTTTTGAAAGGAAATTCTGGTGTTTGCTACAGCATGGAGGAAACTTGAGGATGGTGTCTCAGTCCATTGTGCTGTCATGACACAATGCCACAGGTTGGGTAATTGATAAAGAGCAGAACTCGATTTCTCACAGTTCTGGAGGCTGCGAAGTTCAAGACCAGACAGGCCAGTGAGGGCCCCACCTCTGTGCGTCCATGATGGCGCCTCGTCTGGGTCCCCCAGAGAGGGAGGCTCCATCCTCACATGGCAGGAGGGCCCAAAGGGCAAGAGGACCGTGGACCTCCAAACTCCAAAGCTCTTTTCGTAAGGGCATTAATCCATCCATGAGGCTGCACCCTATGACCTAATCACTTCTCCAAAGATCTCACCTCTTATTTTATCTTCTGAGTATGGGTCTCACTGTCACACAGGTTAGAGTGCAGTGGCATGATCATGGCTCGCCATAGCCTCAGCCTCCTGGGCTCAGGTGATCTCCTGCAACAGCCTCCCAAGTAGCTAGGATTACAGGTGTGCACCACCACACCTGGCTAATTTTTTAGTAGACAAAGTCTCACTGCATTGCCTAGGCTGGTCTCGAACTCCTGTGACTCCACCTTTATTTTTTGAGTTGGAGTCTCACTCTGTTGCCCATGGCCACCGCAGTGTCGATCTGCTGGGCTCAGGTGAGCCTCCCACCTCAGCCTTTCAAGTAACTGGAACCACAAGCACACACCACCACACCCAGCTAAGTTTTTTATTTGTTATAGAGATGAGATCTCACCACCCCTGGGCTCAGGCAATCCTCTCACCTCTGCCTCCCAAAGTGCTGGGATTACAGGCGTGATCCACCGTGCCCAGTCTGATTTTTGTGAATTCTTATTCCTGGCTGTGCATCTCTTCTTTTTTTTTTTTTGAATTGGAGTCTCACTCTGTCGCCCAGACTAGAGTGCAGTGGC